CTTTTTGGGTAGCCGCAAATGGATTATTTCACTATCAACACATTTTTGCCCACATTCTAGCGTTATGTAACTGTTTACATTAGTCGAAGTTGAGGAACATGGGGTTACGATAATAGGGAATACAAAAAATTTTTTAAACCAACACCATATAACTTATAAAGGCATCGGTAAATTGTACATCTGAGTCTTCTATACTACATCAATCTACTCAATGCAACACTACGAGTTATGGCTAAGTTTTGAAACTAAAAGTTTCAAGTTGTGCCAGTTCAATGGGATTTCAGATCAAGTAAACACGCCTTAGAGAGGTACTCAGTGAGGATTCCAACTTACCACAATAATGGTGTCTCAAAATAATAGGGAGCGAGTTGTGAAAGTCCTTTTGCTTGTTAATGACTTCCTTTGGTAAACTTTTGTACAGCTCTGCCTTTTCAACTAGCTGATTTTGTGCCTCATGTTGGTAGTTAAAACGATTCCAACAAATGAAATTAATCAAAATAGGGAATGGAGCAAAAATTTCCAACCACAGTAGATATTTTGCAGAGATACTAAGCCAGGAAAACAGAGGAGCCCAGGTGAGTCTTACGCGATTCCAGACAAGCAGACAAAGTTGTGCGGAGTGGCTTCCTAGAGCCTGTTTTTTGCAAGATAATCACAGACATCAAAATGATGTATTCTGTTTTAAGCTGTGAACTATCCGAACGCAAAACCAAGGCGCTGAGTGTGAGTGGGAAGAAAGTAGAGAAGTGCAACGAGAAATTCCTATGACTTGATAAAGGAACGGGACACAATGAAGACAAATGTTGGAGATTGGACGTCGAAAAAACGAGTGTAATTTTGGTTATAAAGTAGATGAAAATATTTGACTAAAGATAACAAATTACAAGAAAATTGCAAAATTGCAGCAGTAAAGGTACGTAAAGTTATGAAATAGGGGAACAAAACGTATCCTTGAAGGCAAAAATATCCACTCCCAACAAAGACACAAATATTTAAGTCATAATTTCATGACTCGTCAGTCAAACACAGCTATTGGACAAAATACCGAGGACATGACCAGGAGGAAACTTTTTCTTCTAATATAGACACTCTGATCCAAAGGCAGACGTTGAAACGCCTTTGTCAATGCCAGAACTGGCTGTATTTACAATTAAATTTGCAAGAAGAAAAGATGCAGATTGCACCACTATTATATTCTGCAGACATTTTGCCTTTTGGAAACCGCCTTCTAAAGGTCTCTTGCACGCGGACTCAGCAGAGTGTCCATTTCCAAAACAAACAGCTTGCTAGGACGTCACAAGAATTACTAGTCACCCAGCAAGCACAACCTTCGTCTGGCTATTCAAGGAATAGGCAATGTTCGTAGTTAATTCAGTGACAGATAAATAGGTAATGAGGACGTTGGACAAACTAGGTGCAAAAAAATAGGACTGAAGAGTTGTTCTCATTGAAATTTTGTCCTGTACACATGGCGACATCATCAGTCAACTGAATAGGTTATTTTTTGATATTTTTTGATTGGTTAATAGGCAGTTTTTCATTTTGGTGCATTTAGAACTCCAAATGTAGCTATAAGCGGCCCCTTGGTGAATAACTAGTTAGGAGGTAAATTTAGACGTTTAAGTTATGCTATTTACATCATTTATTGGCAACATGGGATCAAAATGCACTCCATGAGGTAATAATCAGATGATAAAGGTCTTATTTAATTACGATGCCTCCAGATTTTTTTAATTATTTTTGAAAACAACATTTAATTCTAGCTAAATTCTGCATATTTGGAAAACTAACAAGCATTGTCATGGAAAATCCATAACTGGGGCATTCAATGGTAACAATTTCGTTATCACATGATTCTTCTCATTTTAGCCTTCTACTGCTGCACGTCATTCATTCGTTCTCATTTTTCAATTAAAAACCTTTCATTGTTGTGGAATCCATTGTTATTTCATTAAAAAAAAGCTGCCCTGTTTGCGCACATGATCGAATTCCCGTGTTTAGCTACACTGAAATTCGCGATTTCGATTTCAAACCGGGCAAAAACAATAGTAGCTAATTTGACATCACCGACACATTTAAATTATTTCACCTTAGAAATTCAGTAAGAGTTAATGATAGATATGTGTAAAAGGATGTGTTTGATTAATAAAAAAAGGAAGAATAGTGCTACAACTTGGCTGAAGTAGCAAGAGGCTGCGTAGAATGAATACCACTGACTGCTAAGCACCCACGGACAGATAAACTGTTTTTATGATGATTCATGAATATAACAGTAATAAAGCATGATAAAGACACAGCGTACTTGTAGCAGGTTAGCAGCGATCGCGCCTGAGTGAACCCTGGTTACTAACCTGACGGTGACAACGACTCATCACCTTTTCATTGGTTACTGTATCAGACGCCAGTCATTCGCTCACTCATCCACACACTAAGTCAAACTTAGCTGGCATGACGCTAGTAAACGGTCGTGTCCTGTCGCCTCTCTTCTCTCCATTCTCGGGCCGTTCCGGTGTTAACTAGAGGGTTGTAAGGTAGTGCTTAGACCACAAGCCACTACATACTCACTCCGAGGGATAGTGATCAAGTGGGGAGGTCATATACGCGTGAAGGACGCGAAAGCGGGGAATTGCTGACAAAATTGTGCCTCGCGTCCGAACTGTGTAAACTTGTAGGTTAGAGCCAAACCTTAACCCAAGTCAAATCAGGCTAATCAACAGCTAGAATCCAACTAGCCAACTGCAAACCCAGGCTGGCAGTCGAGCGTTTTTCGTCAATTCCGTGGAAGAATGTACCCAGCAATAAATTTGGCAATTAATACACACTAACTACACTAAACGGCAAAGAGTTCAAGTATGTTTTGCAGCTGTGCCTATGCATCAGTGTCCCTATACTTGTGGTCACGGTTACACTTAGCGAATAACAGTTTTAATTTAAAAATTTTCAACACTGTCCTAACTACGATAAGCTATGCAGATTCACAGTGCAACAAGTGTAATCAGGAAGTACAAACTGAAATTGGAAGAAGGTACAAAGTTCATTGCAGGGCACTAATCGAGAGCCCAGATTACGGTGGCAGAGAGGAACCTTCTTTCCAGCACAAACCCGTTAATAAGAACAACAGATGTCCCCATGGCAACCCTCTATGTACAAACAAGGCGTCTGCTGCACAGAACAGCCTGCAAAAATAGTCGCAGACATATGGCTCGCCACTCGTTATTGCCGAAGAAGGGGCAGTGAAAACTTCATTACTTATGCAAACCCGAAAGAAACGTCTTCAAGCCGATTGGCTGAGCATGTCTAGTGCAGTAACTGAAGACCTTCTAAATGACCATCGCTAGAGCGATGTTAAGTTATATTTGAGAGTTGAAGCGTGGCTGTCGCAAATGTTTGTTACAAAGCGGCCCAAAATATAGTGATTTCAGTATGAATTTAGGCCTTGTTTTGTTAAACCACATATTGCACCGTAGAAGCACACGTACACCGCGAAGCAGTGTGAGGGAAAAATTACCTAAAAATACTTCCACACACCGAATCGGTGTAAGGGACCGCCTTAAAACCGCCTAAATGCGCTAATTAATGAGTATGGATGTTCAAAAATTACTGACCTATAACAGGATGCGAAATTCACCCACAAATTTTAGTGTTTTAAATAACAAAGTTAGGCAAGGTAAGCATGCAGTAGAATTGTTTAAATTTCTTAACACCAACGCATTGTTAACTTAAAACACTCCTGGCATGCTAGCGTCTTGATTCAAAGCGGAACGCTATATTCACAGACGAGGTTTTATAAAGGAATTCACTTAGGTAAGCACCCAAACTTCGCATAAAGCTGACTTAACCACAACTATCAAAATGGTCAATTTAACAGGTAATAAACTTAAAACATGTTGAGCATGAGTTACTTCATTTGATGTAGCTTAAATTTAATTTACCAGCTGTTTGAACCCGTTGGAAGTTAAATTTTCGACATGACGTTAAATAGCACAATCGCAAGTATTTATGTTGGGTTTGGAAAAAATAAATACGCCTGGATACATAATGAAAGTGCAGCGGAACAGCATGAACCAGTTAACAACTCGAATTCAACTAGAAACTAAACAAATGAGTGGAGGGCTTGGAAGACACTTTAAGCAGAAAAGCTGTTTTCTGAATGCGAGGCAATAAATTTGAAAATTTACTCGTACAACCGAAGTCGTTTTTAACAGCGGTGCGCAGTTTGCTTAACTCGGGGTAAATACCTCAGCTACATTGCGCACGAAATTGTGAAAGGCTGTTTTTCAAAGTGTCGATTACTGAATTTCATGTTATCGCGTTCTGGGATACTTTTGGTGCGTTTCGGTAGACATTTTTGGCACTGGAATGCCACCTACTCAAAAACTGACTCGTCTGGGCAGCGTTTTGCCTAGAAAAAGTGGTTCAGGTAGATTCTGAAATCACGCACAGCACGTTCATAGCTCTTTGGGCCTGCGGGATTGTCAAAATGCTAATTTTTATGTCGCATTTTTTTGGAAACAAATTCCACGATAAAAGCCTTCCCACATTTGAAAGACCAGTAATTTGTCTGGAGCCACAGGGTGAGGTAGATTATCAAAATGACATACAGAACGAAGCGCCGCTGTAAAGCTCTATCAGCGGCGAGGGCGTCGAAGCTGAAAACGCCTGTCGTGAGACCTACTTTCGTCATTTATAGCATTGCTAGAAATATTTTCCTAGCCGTTATTAGGGAAAGAAATGTTTGCCGTGCAATAACAAGGTGGTCACAATTTAGGCATCTCATTATGGCAAGCGTATACGCCCGCTGGCCGAAGAAGCCTGTTTGGCCAAACAATTGGCAGACTGTGCAAGTTGAGGTTACGGCAACCGCTATCATCACGAAAAGGTGCTAATTAGTAACTTTGCTTTAAGAATCTCCCGGTACAACCTGCCTATAAGCCCATAGGTGTTCTATTGAATGACAACGTGTGAAAAATACCTGGTTTGAAGAATCCTGCAACAGGTCGATGTCGTCGTCATTGTCTACGGGACCTAGCGATAAAGATCGCCGGCATCTTTCCGTCGTACTAGCGCTTCGCGATTCGGGCGGCCGTAGAGCCAGTCGAGTGGAGGGGACGGCCGAAAAAGCCGAGCCTCGAAGCTCCTCAGGCTCAAATCGACGTGCAACGGGCTTCGTAATGCCTACCGGCGTCAACGACGCTTCATTTGTCGCTGCAGACTTTCGTACTGCAATGTTTGCAGTCACCTAAAGTAACGCAATAGTTATTTGGACGGTGCAAAGTTTAAGATTGTACTTCTCAACATTTTTTAAGGTGCGGTTTCGGAAGCCGCATTAATTACTAACACCAATTTCAACGGCGACTGTGACTACGATAAATTATTTTCCGAATCACGGCTTTCTCCAATTAGAACAGGTACCTGATGCACCAGCATGATAAAAGCTCATTTTAAGAATTAGCAAACTGCTAAAACGTTTAAAATATTACTCGTAATTAAACTATATTTACGTAGTTAGGATCAATAAGGGAAAACACTTGAGAGAAGTTGAGGTATTTGGTAAAGCATCTCTAGAAGGAAATGGCAAGGAGTAGAACCACCGATTAAGTAGTTCCACAGAGCCTTAATCTGCTAATTTTTTTGTGCTAACGATTGCACTGAGATGACTAAACAAACAGAAGAAGCAAATTGGTGAGCGCCATGGCCCACAACAAGCTAAAACGTTCGATTTTTTTGAAAAAAAACTATCAGAATAAAAGCAGGTTAAATTAATTGAAATTAATGTTTCTGCCATGCCATCAAGTTCAAATGTCAGCCAACCAAGAAAGGACTTCAGACTATTTTCCAGTGGCATCTAACTAGCGCTTAGGCAGATTAATCATGGGCGGAAAGCAAGCGAGAAAACCTACGAGGGACGAACAACTCGTGAATAATTAAGTGGCTAATGAGAGGAGAATTGTGGGTCTACTCAAGTCTCCTTTCCACGCACAGCAAAGATGTGTGGAATGAACAGGTCTGTTGATAATCACCCATAATTACTGATAGCTGAAAGTGTATCTTCTGCGAAGCTGCCATAATGGGTGGATACAGGTTAAAAATAATTAGTTTAGTAGTGTACCTTTCCACGCACTATCGTCGTTTGTGCAGCTTCGGTTGCTAAGGAAGTCACTTACGGTTTTTTTTAAAAAAAAAACAATATGCATTAGATGGGTGTACCGATTAAAAACTTAAAACAAGGGCACATTTGTCTGTGATTCGAATGGAATAGCGCGACTCAATTCGTAATTAGCAAAATTGACCGATGTTTAGTTGTCATAGCTCACAATTTCCCATAGCAGTTTGCTGTTTTCTTCAAAGTTTTCAACTTCCTGTGAAAACTGCAATGCCACCGAAAAGCTGTTTGCAACGACTCTTTGAAGGTGGAAGATCATAGATACTCTGCCGATTTAACTGCGTAAACAAACGTTGAAACACTGCCTAGTGCATTAACCAAGCCCAGTCGGTAGTGAAATCACCTAAGCTTTTAGAAGTGTATGCAACACCTTCAAAAATAAATGATGGTATCGAAATGCGTCCCCATATACCTGATTTAACTATTAAAGCTACTGCTTGTAATAGTTTAGAACTAGGCTGATCCTTAAATCCGGTGATATTTTAATCTTTTAACTCATGGTTCTTAAGAAACCCATGGGGTAATTCCAATAACTCTGGTCATATTTCACGTGGTCTATTAAATCCACCTGTTTGTAACAATCTGTTGGTAATCAACACAACGTTTTTTGTCCTTTACCTTAGCCAAACTTGAAAAAACAGTAACGAAAGCAACGGAAAATCAGACAATACAAATGTGATTTTAAGTCATATTGGGACAAAAGAGTCAATTATGAGACAAATTACGTTCGGCGGACTATCAAATAAACATGGTGTATAAGCCGATATTCTTATCTCGGATTTGCTGTTTCGGCAAAATAGAAGACATTCTAGACATTAGGGTCGGTGGTTAACGTCGTGGTGCAGCTACATTGTTGAATACTTAAGAGACGCAGTGGCAAAGTAGTCCACATTACATTGACGCTATCTAGAAATACTGGACCCTAGTTTCTAATTCGTCAAATCTAAGGCAACATGAAACAGCATTATCGTTTCACTAAATAATGATAGCCGGATTTCTAAGTTGCCTTTAACTAGAGTGAAAGAGAACGTTAATTGAGAATTTATTTAATGATTTCGTTTGCAGTTAGCACGTTCTCTTGAAAAAAAAAACAACAAATTTAGCGATGTTTTGCAGAAATTAAAATAGCGTCTATTGCCCACATATGATTTGTTGGTGTGGTTAAAAAGGCTTGGGCGAGATGCACAATGTGAAAATGCCTTGATATAGATATGTTCCAAAGGCGAAAATTCAGCTAAACAAAGGACCAACTTGAAGTACATCAGAGATCTATAAGGTAGTGCATTGACTGCAAGAGCATCATCCACCCCACAACACATTAGTTTTTAATATGTTACTACGAAACCAGAAAAGTACACATTTACATCGCTTAGAGAGGCATCTTGAAGTTCATATTTGTTGGATGGAGCTAAGGTTTACAATGCAAATTTTGTTCTCTGCAGAGAAAAGCTACGTTTTCGGCTGCCCCGATGGGGTAGCTGATAAGTGAATAAATGACGTTCAGTCGTGAAGCTGCGCAATTAGGAAACATAGGTCCCCAGCGCCCTGTTTTGTGGTGCTAGAAGCAAATTTCTGGCAAGTAAGTCCCTTGAAAAACACTCAGCAGCCATACCAAATATGCATTTTAAACCCCCGCAAACGATTAAGTCATGAAAAAATAGACGGGGCGCTGAAAACTGGGTGCAAGGTGATACTTAATATAGGCTAAAAACATTAATGAATGTGCATATATTAACATTTATAACGCCCATTGCATATGCGATCAAGTGAAGCAACTTTTGACGTTAGCATTAGGCTAATTACTACGATTGACGGGTTCCTAAACCATGTTCTAGACTCCTTTTGATTTCCACTAACAATGAAAGGTAAATTTTTTTGAAAAAAGGGCAGTTAATATGTAAATTTGGTTGGCGACTTATTTGGAATTATGGATACCGAAATATCATTGCTAGCATAGTCAGATTTCTAAGTAGTTATAAGTGACGAAAGGTTAAGCAGCTGAAAATAATCAGACGGCGGATTTAAAGCATACCTGAGTGGTAGTAGGATTAGTAGATGAAGCACTTGGATGGGACAATCGTAAGATAGAAGTTATGGCAACCGACGGACCTACCAACACACAAAAAAACGCATTCGGTTTTTTTCCGATTCTGCATCGATTAAGGCAAGTGAATTAGAGAAGGTTATTTGAGAAAAAATGCAAATTTAAATGTCAAAGTTGCACCACCTCGTGTTACCCAAACCAATAGGGTGTTAATTGATTCATAAATATTCTAAACATTCGTCACTTGCATTATAGGATCATCGCAGACTATTTCATGCCACTGTTCAGACCTCGTCTTTTTACTGCGAATAAACCTGCAGCTTACTTTACCCGATATTTCTTTTTCAGCAAAGCGAGGAAATGATCGCCAACTACGACAAATTCATGCAATTTTTCTGTCAAACTATTAAATACGTTCTTCAAAATATACATTTCGCATTCACTAAGACAGCCTATTGGATTGAGCTACGAAAAACCTTGCCTTGAGTAGTAACTGTTAGGTATAAATAATTCATTTGCATAAACGTAAAACCCCTGTGAAAAGCCCTTTTGCGAAGTTCAGTGAAATTACTGGACAACAGCGTGGCAGTTGTATTCGTTTGAACAATCCGCCAGAATTTGTCTAAAAGCGGAGAGTTTTTACAATCTCGGCATGTTTCGGCTCACAAAGTGTGTGTTCGGTTTCGTATATCGAGAAGTAAGGACTGGGAATCGGTTAGACAGGAGGATGTTTCAATGAATAATGTGTGACGCAAATATGCCAATAAATAGATCTGATAAAACGAGGATTTAATTTAATAAACTAATTTGGAAGTTATTCAGCTTTACTGGTCTTTTTATTTGCTCAGGCAAAAAGGCTCCTTGGCAAAATTTTTTTTCCTGATAATGTTCGGGACTAGGAGGAGTGAACTAATAGACAAAAATGGCCTTTAAAAAAATTTTTAAATTCCAATAAAATCATTGGCACCACTTTTCTGTGAATAACCCGTGTTTTAAAAACGCGCTTCTTTCTGACAATCCAAATCCTGCCTTTCCCCTTGCTCTCTCCGGTTTTTGATCTTCAAACAGAAGCCAAAAACGGCTCAAGCGAGGAAGGACTTACTTGCAACTGAATGCATATTCCCATGGATAAAGTGAGGTAGAAAGCAAAGCCTAAAGCGAACGGTATTGTAAGATGACAAAGAAATCAACACACGAGGCGGTTCAAAGTTAAGCAAAAGTATTCCACTTGATTTCTTCCGCAAACAATTTGTTCCAAGTGGCTTCGTCAAGCGCGCATTATTTGCCATTAAAGCGAGAGCAATTGCGAGGATGTGGACCGTTTAAAAGGAGGATTCAATCTGCCAAGCATTGAGGAATAACGTGTGGATCATCAAAAGGGATCATTCGGTTCCACTATTGCGGCGACAGAGCCAGAACTACTTGGCGACATGCTGCGCACACAGAATCCCATACAGAGGAAGTAGTTCGACGCTTCTAAAATGACAGACAGCTAAAAAACCCAACCCTGGCATCATATATTACACTCAAATTTCACCACTGGGACGATATTAGGGCAAAACTGATGTTTTGGTGCTGAGCCGAGGTGTTTACCGCCACATATTAAGGTCAAGGCGCAATTCTGTGCAGGAATTTCTACCAAAACATGATCTACGAGAACCGTCAACAGGCGGCGATTAGCAATGAGTTAAGGAAGCGATTATTTATGTAGGCCATAGGCAAGCTGCATCAAAGGTCACAAATTTTTTGGGCACATAAAGGACAAATACAAAATTCGCTCGGAGGTTACATAAATGTGACATCTACCTTGAAAAACAGATATTCGTGTTAACCTTCAAGTATACCTATTATCTGTTGTCCAGTAGTGCGAATTTGTGATTGGTGGACACGAGAGCGAAAAAAACCACGACCATGGCAATTGGTTTCTGAATTACCATGGCAGATGTCCGACGCAAATAAGTGCTCATTTTAGTCTGTTAGACACAGTCACTGTTAATCAGGCTGCCCTAAGTCACTTGGAATAGGGCTCAGAGTTGTAATATGGCCGGAATCACAAGGCCTTCGGAACTAGATTAAATAATTTCTGTGTCACAACTTGAGTTAGCTTAAGCAACACAAAATTACGGGAGTTTTTAACACAAAATCATTCTTAGAGCTTCCTGCGATGGCCTTTGAAATTTTACCAAGGAATGCTAATTCGCGTTATATTCGATTGGCTAAAGTTAATGAGCAATTTAAAAAGAGCATGGTTCTTTTGAGAATTCGATCTGAGCCTAATCGGATCTTTAGATGTTGAAAATTCTATCTGGAAGGGACACTGACATAATGCTATGAAGTAATCACAAGAGATGCTTATCCTAGGCATTGACAACACGTAAGTTAAAGGTGCTTTGTATCAGGAAAAAACCACATCTGTCCACGGAGCAAAAGCGCATTAAGTTATGCATTTAAATACTTATGAAGGCATTTTCATGATCAAGTGTAACACGAGAGCCGGAACTAGCCCTAAGTTTTGTGCTAAACCCTTAAAAATGTGGTGTAAGTGACTTGCTTCTGGAACACGGTGACCATGAAAAGAGCAACAGAAGACGCTTGCCAACATCCAGTTTCAAATGAAAGCATCACATTAATGGACAAATGGCAAACCTAAAATCTGGTAAAATAAGAGGCAGGTTATTTTAAATGTTTGTGCTGTTTGAAGAAAGGTTCTGGTACCCAAATGTACACTCAGTCTGTGCGAAAGTCACAAGAGGACAAAAAACAAAACAATTTGTCAGTAAACACTGCAAAAAACGTTGATCATAATGCAGGAAATAGGGGTGTTGGGCGCACGGCTTAGAAGGATACAAATTTTGCAATGCTACATTCCCGTGGCATATTTTTTGTCCTCGTGTGAAACATGATAGCGCGAATGAATGAACACGACTGGCCCAACGCGTTAGAGACAAAAGTGTTGTAATGCAGAAATTTGCACAAAATGTGTACACGTGAAGGAAATTCAAATTTCAAGACAATGCCGACGTTGATACAAACGCAAATAGTCAGAGTATCTTAAAACAATGTAAATTTAAGCTATTAATCTCAGTTTGGTATTTTGTGCTTTGGAATTTATCGCGTATCAGTTGCTCGGCAAGGAGGTGACAAAAAATAAACGAAGATTACTTTATGTTATGAAACGTTAAAGATATTTCTACCACTGGTTTCATGTTAGAATTTAAAAAGCATTCGTAAGTGGCAATTTAATATTAAAAATTCGACACATTGCATCTGGTTAGAGGAATTTAATTAACTACTATCTTTAAACACCAACTAAATTAGGTATTAAACGAAATTTAAGCAACAAAAAAGATTCCAAACATTTTGAAATTAAGATTTCATAGGCTGACCACTTGTTTACGTGACGTTCAAGTGAGTCAATGGCTGCTATGAAAATTAGACAACCATTAGGGTTCTTCCAATAATTTCTAATTAGTTTCATACGTTCAATTTAACATCCGTCGTATCTAGAAACAAAATCTTAATGTGCGCATTGACCAGTCACAACCAAAACCGAAATGGACAGGACAAATTTGGCGCAATTTGAGTACCAATAATCAGTGTTGGATGATTTCGATGTAAATACTCACAAGCATGGTGCAACAATTTTTATTGAGAATAAAACGACTTCATTTGGAAACCCTTTGATTTTAAGGTTTTTTCTACTATAATAGCATGTAGTGCCCATGAGGTAGCAGAAAGTTCTTACTGATAAAATAGGACACGTTTTTTACATACATTCATTGGAACCATGTTCAAATGTTGTCATCGTTCCCCGGTATTTGGTCAACTAAATGTCTCATGGTAAAACGGTATCCTTGCAAAACATAGGCATTCCGGGTCTACACAATATCCACAGGCTGCGGTGCAGATTTTCAATCCGAGACAAAAGAATTCATTGCATTAGCCAGGAAAATTTATGTACACACCCAGAACAACTTGCGATCACATGTAAACTTCTTTGACCAATGTGCGCTTAGTTTGTCATTAATAAGAGCCGCATTTCCCAACCTCACAGGCAGCAAATCACTTATGCCACGCTGAAGAGTGCCATAATTTGACATTCTCTAGCCCCGCTATATAGGGAAAAGAAATTTTCTCAAGCGCACATGTTACCTCAGTCCTCTTCCGAAGTACCTAGCTAATCGCATTGGAATTGTGTGCCCCTCAATTCACTATAATAAGGCGGTTTTCTTTGTTTACACAAGAACACACCCCGTGACCACCAGAACTGAGGCAAAGGCAATAAGTGTTCCCCTTTCTGTTGTTGGATTTTCTGCTTTTGTAGTTACCATTAGGCCAGTTCTGCACTGTTCCAACGGGGTCTGCATTCTAGGGTTGTTAATTAAACAGACTGACTCTACATTAGTTTCGTTTCTGGTTGTGAATCGCGACAAGCGTGCGCATTTGCAGCCACTTAATGTAAGTGCTGTGGCTTGTTGCTTTTGCATTTTACCGAAACGTTACTTCTCAGGGTGCAGTCTCGCGTGACACTTAGAGTCCTGGTCAGTCAGGCGCTTAGGGCTTAACATGGTAAGGGAGCAGGTGGTGCCTTCTTTTAGGGAATTTGTTCCATCCGACAAGTTTTGACTGACGAATAACAGCAGATAATTTGGTTCGTACAGATGCAGTCACATTTAAGGTAGTCAAAGCTGCTAAAATCACGATGTTAGGTGAAAATTAGGGTCAACTGAGATTGAAAGACTCACGTTCAGAGTACAAAAACCACTGTATCTACAGTCATCACGTTCAGATATAGTGGAACTAAATTAGTAAATGGCAAGGGACATTTAAGTGCCGGAGGGTGGAGGCCACTTACAGTGCTTGCCGTCGGTTTCAGTGCGTCGTTGAAGCACCAACGGTGGAACAGTTGAGGTTACACTGATGCCCGTGGGTCGGAAGGATGTCGGTTTGGTTTCCACGGTGGTGGCCAACTTGGCTGGAAGAAGACCCCCAGTGGAATGGGGTGAAACCGCACTAACGTCCACCGGGAAAAGGTCATCGGGGGTGGGACTGTCAGCTCTCAGGTGGCTGGGGTTTCGCAGGGAATGTCTCCGAAAAAAGCAACGACTACAAGAAGAAATTACACCTTATTAACACTACACTGGCTTATTTGTGTGGTTTAAAGTGCAAATGAGACATGTGTTATTAGTTCCACAAGTGTTACAACATTAATGGTCGAAGGAAAAAATGTCTTTCTTTGGAGTTAATAGATTTGTTAACATCTAAACGTCTGTTATTCTACCAAATGATTTGTTATGAGCTAAAATGAATAGGTAAATCAGACATTAGTTTGATTTAATTAATCTAATCAATCATTCTGGCTGTGGAAGAGGGAAACAGCACGCTAGAGAAGTCAGTGAAGCATTAAGTTGAGCGAGGCGAGCCACATCTGCCTACCGAACATTTGCACGGTTGAGTTCACAAAGCATGAACAAAAATCCAGTGTAATGAAGAATTGATAATTAAGCAAATGAACATACGAAGCAAAACAACCATGCTGTTAAACTACTCACGAAGGTGAAGATTTGTTATCTCGTTCACAAGCAAAGTGAATAATAAATTTGATTGCTGTGTAGCGATTCGAGGAATTTGAGACGAAGACATTTAGTAAAAGAAAAATGGGTGCTTTGGCGCTGTGCAGCCAAAATAGGGCAATGCACAAAGACGTTTACACTGACTTACACCCCGGAGAACTTGGATCAACGAATGATCATTTCTGACAATAGGAAATTCGTTTTGCTGAGCAAGGCAACAAGGGAGCAAGTGGAAATGCTCCTTACGGCAGAGTGAACTAAAGACTGAAAAGTCTGTGGTTAGAGCTGGAATGTCAATTCCAACAAAATCAATAAACTGAGCTCCGGATTTTCTAAAATCTCCTTGACACATTTCTTCGTGAAAGAGATGAGATATTCCCCAAAAGAGCTAGTCATTCACCGGAAGACAACCCAACTATCAAGAATTGCCAATGTTCGTATTTATTGACTCTGTCATTATAATAGAGCTCTTCTCATTTCCCCTGTTACGGTTTGATCAATCACTGACGTCATTCCATCTCCAGGTATGAATAGATCATAAAAGGGGTGTTTTATTGACGAACAAGAAGATAAATGGCCGCGGAAACACGGTCTGTCAAAACGAGCATCCTAGTTGCTTTAGCTTGTGAATTCATCAGCGGTTTGTTTTAGCAAGTTTCTCACTTGCAATCCGTTGATTAATTATCCATTCAAAGCCAGAATTTACCTAAGTTCAAGGTTCTTTAACAGAATAAAATTGTTTTTAAATCGACCAAACCACTTATTTACTGTCCTTTGAGCAGGTGAACTGTCGAAATAGCGCATAAATCGGTACTATTGCAGTTCCACCACCAATTCGTAAACTCGTGTAGGATTACGCGACTCAACTTCATATCTTACTGCCAATTTTAAAAAGACTAAGATGACTTTTGACGTACCTGGAGAATTGTCACTCAATAATGTAAACACCAGCACTGTTACATGTGCCTGCTTCAGACAGCTTTGAAATCAACCATGAACTTTTGCAAACATCAACAGTTCGTTAATGTAATCAACAGACGATGGCATCATTTGATACAATTCGCTAATGAAACACTCAAGAGTGAACTATGACAACAAGAATTTGACGGAACAAAGTGCACATGTTTATTGTTCCGTAGTTTCAACAATCAAGGCAAGTCCCAGAGAATTCTTCCCAATGGATAAATTTATTCACAATCAGTGAAATGAACTTAATCGCTGCATCCAAAATGGGAGAGAATAAAATATTTCAATACTTTTGTGCTGCTCACGTTGTGAACAGCATGGGTAAAGTTAGTGAATAATTAAACAAGAGAGTGTATTTTAATCTAAGCTGAGAGATTTCTTGACATCCCTATTGCGCACGCCAAAAGCACTAGTTCGGGTGGTAATAACAAAATTCATTTCCTCAAAAGCACCAAACACGATGTATACACTGAAAGAAGTTTCAGTGAAAATTTACAGGTTCATGCCGGCCAGGCGTTTTGAAATAAAAGTGCTGCTTTGGCAGGCTTTTCTACGATTTGAAGGAGCAGTTTATAATATGTAGACGTAATCCAGACACTGGAATACAGTGGTCATACACATTTGATTAAAGACCATAACAAATAACGACTTTGATTAAAGTAATCAAACGCGTCTAATGAGTAAATCACAAGAAAACTGAATGAGTACAAACATATTTGAATTATAACCGTAAATTACATCAGTTGACTCAATGAAACTTGGTCGCATATGAGGTTAACCTTGTGGTTTGCCTACAACGTAAGTTTCTACAGTACGATGTTCGTTAAATTACGACCTTATTCAAGCTGCAGTGGTGGTGGTGGTGGTGGTGGTGGTGGTGGTGGTGGTGGTGGTGGTGGTGGTG